CATCCTCAATTTGGAGTTACCAACACACTTGCTGCGCATTTGAGTAGAAATATACGTCTCCTTCCGTTGGAATTATCTAAATTGATGCATTAAAAAAATGTAATACTGTTGCAAATATTCATGAGATTTATACTGGGGCACAGCTCATTTATACTGGGGCACGTGCCCCAGTAAATGGGGTCTGGCGACGCCGATGTTAATCACGATTAATCCCATTAATTTTTTCATCCCTAGCAGGTAGTAAAACAAATAAGACCACAACTTTAAACTAATATTACCACTGTTAACAGTTTAACTTCAACAGCCAAAGGCAGCTTTAAACTATTGGGTTTTTAACTTTGTCTTAAAGAACTCCGGCTATCGGTGTTTTAACAGTCTGCTGAGTTTGTTCCAATTAAGTGGAGCATAGAAGCTAAATGCTCCATGTTTGTTTCTAGTTCTGGGTGTTCAGAGCAGGCTGGAACTAGAAGACCTGAAGGTTCTGGGAGGTTGATACATTGACAACAAGTCTGTTATGTATTGAGGTGCAGATCCATTTATTGATTTATAGACTAACACAAGGATTTTAAAGTCTATTCTCTGAGCTGCAGGGAGCCAGTGTAAGGACTTCAGAACTAGACTGATGTGTTCTACCTTTTTAGTGCTAGTGAGAACACAGCCAGCAGAGTTTTTGATCAGCTGCAGCTGTCTGATGCACTTTTTAGGCAAACCTATGAAGACACTGTTGAGGTAATAAATACTTAAAAAAATGCATGTATAAGTTTTTCTACACCATACTTGGACATTAGTCCTTTAATCCTAGAGATGTTCCTCAGGTGATAAAAGTCTGACTTAGTAACTGCCTTTATTTGCCTTTCTGATCCCATCATAACACCAGGATTTTAGCCATAACGTTCCCCACTGTAACATAAGTCCTTTAGGTAGGATTTAAACCAGTCCAGCAAGGCACCAGTAAGGCCGACCCAGTTTTCCAAACATGCTGATAAAATCAAATGATCAACAATATCAAATGCTGCACTGCGGTCCAATAATACCACCACTGTGGTTCCTCCACAGTTTGAATTTTATCGGATGTTGAACTATATATAATGTTTTCCTTTTATTCTGACTGTCATAGCAGCTTCTAACTGAGACTAACACATTTACATGCAGATGGAAATTCCAGAAAAGAGGTCTTAAGTCCTTTTAGGCCAATAAGATGCAAAATATGCTTTCCCTCTGTGTAATAGGGCAATTTGCATCCAAGAAAAAACAAACAAAAAACAAGCAGCTGATTAAAACAAGTGATCATTCATGTTCGAGCCTGCTTTGTCCCTGCTGACCACAATGTTTTGAGTATTTGTTTCAGGTCAGGGAAGTTAATTTGTTCATGTGCATGTTTGTGTCAGTGAATGTCAGGGTTTCTCTCCACAGACGAATTTTTCAGAACATGCCCTCTGGCTGGAGCTCAGTAAAATATAAAAACAACCACCATGCAGGACGGAAGCAGAGAGATCAATTAAGATAAATAAAAAAAAAAAAAAGGGAGGAAAAGGAGGCTGGTACGAAGTCCATTTATCCACAGATAACTTGAGGGAGATGAGATCCATGGAATGAGGAGTGAAGAGAAGTGAGTCTTAAGTGAGTAAAAGGTACAGAAGAAAGTGAGAGAAAGGTTTTGTTTGATGTCTCTGGTCCCCTCAGGTGATTCTCTCTCTCATTCATTATAGGATGGCTTCCCCAGAACCTCCCCATCAGAGCGACATCTGGAAAGGACTTCTACCCTTCCTTCTACTGACAGTCCTTCTTGCTTTGAGCCTCTTCAAAGCCAGAGTAGAAAGGGGAAACTTTAATGTTCCCGGAGGAACAGTTAAGTTACTTTAGCATTCTTTAAAATATTAGAAAGTTTAGTGGTGTATAACATTTGGTGGCTACTTATTCCCTTGAAAGAAGCTATGCTGAGGTTAAAGGAAGTAAAAACTGCAAACTTTTTCCATCATAGAATGTATGTGAAACAGCTGGAGGGACTATATGAGTTTTCCCCAGATGTACAGTGGGGCATTCATGGTGCTAAAGCTAAATGAGCTCCACTCATCACCGTTCTAAAAGGCAGCCTTGATCTAAAACTACAGCTGGCAAAGTGACAGATCTATGAAACAGCTGACTGCAGGTTGTACCAGAGCATATAGCCCAGCTAAACAGCTAATATCAGTATGTAGTACTTGTGCAACTCTATAAATAACAGAGCTGCAAAAGGTCCTGCAAAACAAACAAATCTACTTTCTGCTTTTGGGAGATATTCTCCAAGAAGCTCGCAATGAGGAAATATGCATCTTCTGTGTCTAAAAGGGACACAGAGTTAATATTTAGGAACGGTTATCAATATGGAACACCAGGCAGCTCATTACATTTATAATTGCTATTCCATTGTTTGTAGAAAGTAAACAAATATGAGGAAAATGAATGAATTAACTCTTTTGGGGGGGGCATTTTCAGTGATGTTGCGCTAACTGGGAAACTGTTAAGGAACCTTATAAACAATGTAACAAAAAGAAAACTGTAAGGGGCTTTTCACAAGAATTTGTTGCACTGGATTTTTTAGTAATCACAGCTACTCCATTCACACATTTTCACTCCTTCATCTTGCCCTGTTACATGAAGTTTGTAGCTGGAAGATGAAAGAATATTGGAACAAAAGCCTTTCTTTTATTCAATAAAATGATCATGATGTGAGAGTCTGTATAATATCCCAGGTTCCTTCGTAAAAATAGTTTTTTTTATTTCATTTAAAGATTTGCAGAAGTAGAACTATGACTTTATTTCATGTCAGTGAACTTTGCTGAAGCTGGACTCCTGACATTGTGCTATTCCAGTCCAAGCAGGACCTCCATGTACTGGAGAGTTAGACAGTTTATTAAACTAAAACCAAAATTACATCTTGAATTGCATGTTTTTCTTATGAAACTGTTCTAAAGGATAATGTAATGGAAAATACATTATCCTTGATGATGGAACATTGCTATCCCATAAATCATCTCAGCATTCCATAAATGCATTCTAGTATGTGGTCCCTACATCAGCAGTAATGCAGACCTGGGTCTAGCTTTGATTGTTGCCGCTTCCTGTGTTGGTCACGGCTCAGCATGGGTAATCTGACTAATCTGCAACTACAAATCCACAACAACAAACCGGAAGAACTGTGTACTGTACTATGGCGAATTTCTGCTTTAACTTCCCTCCATGGAGACTTGGTTCCTCATAATCCTGTTAAGGGTTCCTTATTATTCCATCCTTCGATCCATATTAACAGCTTCTCTCAATAGCTGCAAAAACTGATTGAAGCTACAGCATCTTGGCAGTATCTGTGTGCAAAATTAATATTGCAATTATTGAATAGAAAATGTGTAATGTATGTAGAGATACACCAATCCAATACCTGGATCTGATATTAGCTCCAATATTGACTAATTAGCCGGATCAGATATTGGGGATTTAATATTGAATATAAGTTATCCATACAGTGTACTTTGAATGGTACTGTTATCTCTTTTTTTGCTACTTATTTGTTAAGAAATAATATAAAGTACATTTATCTATGTGCTAATTAGTTCCCTTTTTTTAACAATGTTTATGTCAAGACTGAAGTCTTTACTTACATGAATCGGATCAGTATTGGATATCAGCAGATACTCTCAGGCCAGGTACCGGTATGGCCAGGTACCGGTATCAGAATGGATCGGAAAAAACTGGATTGGTGTATCTCTAATGTATTCCCAGTGTCGTGAGTTTACTCTTGGCATGTCCTTGCTACATTCAGCCTATTGGTTAGAGTCTTAATGCAGCAGAAGCCCACACCTAACACAGATTACAGTCCCTAGATTTATAAATCGTATAGAATGCTAGAAGAATTCAGAAAAAAAGACAGTTGAAGATGTTCTGACTCAGTTTGGGTATTAGAGTTTAAATAATGTCCAGCTCGCTTAAGCCTCCAGAGAGAAAATGTTAAGTTATTGCATCATTTTCCACCAACTAACAGGAAGACAAATTGTTTATTCCCTCTGTCGACCCATGGGGTCTTAATGTAATGCCTGATCCGAGTGAAGCCTGTCTTCTTTTCTCTAAAACTGTTTCTTGTTTCGCTTCATGTCCAGTGGCACCTGTCCTACAGTCACTTACTAGCATCTACTTCATTAATTTTCTGCTCAGTTTTGGACATAAAACAGGGTTTGTAATAAAACCTAAATAAGCCACTTTCATCTTTTTGTTTCAAACGTGAACACAAACATTGATTCCAGAGCCTCGAGGGTTAAAGCATCTATTCATGGCCCCCGCCCGAACGTCGATCTGGTTCCACAGATCAATAATGAAAACACAACATCACCTTGATCTACAACATGCTGTAAAAATACACATCGCACAATGAAGAAATAAACAGAACAAATAAGAACACAATGAAAACCACAGCTGTTAAATCTCTGAATAGTTATGTGATAAATCTTAGTTTGTACTTAGCAACACTCCCTGTATGTCATCTGCTTTACAGTTGCGGGTCAAATCAAATGCTAGGAATAACTGACAATAGACATGGCAAGGGAGCAAACAATGAAGAGAAAAGCAAAACAAATAAATTAACCTACGTCAAATAATCTGCTGATGCATTTAAGCCTGTAACCAATGACTATTCTGACTCCTAACAGTGCAAACATGCAGATGAATTATTCACTTTAACAATTGTCTTTATTTGTTTAGTTCATATTTAGCATTTCCTTAACCTAGCAGGTTTGCACACACAGGCACATACATTTCAGCCTCACTTGAACTTTGGTATTTTCTGCAGAACCGAGAATTTTCTTTGGTTAGGCATATAATAAAAGTGCAATCGTCACACAACACCAAGTGTCAGGTTTACAATTGACACATTTCTCTGTTTAATTCACAAATTTCAATAAACTATCTTTATCTGAACATGCAAGTAAAACATTAAAGTTTTTTTTTTTTATGCAGGAATGTCATTGAAGTACCTGTAGAATGTCACAGAATGAAAGCTTTGCACTTCAGTTTAATCTGATATGACACACCAGAATGCAGGCAGTCTGCAAGGCAAGTGAAAGCGAGATGACGGTTATTCCCAGGCCAAAAAAAAAACAAACAAACAAACACAAAACAAAGAAGATGGTAACCTAAATATTTAGGGCACAGAAAAACACACATGTCATAACATATTACATCAGCCTTTATTTTTTACACGTACAGCTACTTGATTTAACAATTCAGCTGCAGCTTTTTAGATCCCTATCTGATACACCACCGTCAATTCAGTTTCAATTCAGTTTATTTATATTGCGCCAATTCACAACACATTGCATCTCAAGGCACTTTACAGTTCACCAGATCGTACAGCCAAACTGTTTCAAAGTTTTCTATTTAAGGAAAACCAGTTGATTGCATCAACTCATTGACTCGGATGCAATCCCTCACACTAAGCATGCTTGTAGCGATAGTGGAGAGGAAAAACTCCCTTTTAACAGGAAGAAACCTCCAGCAGAACCAGGCTCAGTGTGAGCGACCATCAGCCGAGGCCGAATGGGGTTCAAGGAGACAGAAGCTGGATAATCTCCAGCTCTGTTTTTTTCCAGCAACAGAGAAACTCTGCCACACTGCACACTAAATATTTCAGGCTCCTTTAGGTGCCTGTTAGAGAGGGGACTAAAAGAAAATACAGCATAAATAAAACCAAAAACAGAATGGCATTCTCATAATGCTGTATGTAGATATCTCCTGTATATACACCCCTTTGGTTTGCCAAATAACAGCTAAACAGAAGCATTAATATAAACAGAATATATATAATTTTAATAGCAGGCTCTGGAGAAACTGATGAGTGTAGTATTTTAATTACACTATCTGATCTGAGAGTAGAAAATCAAACAAAAAGAAGATTTTTAAGCGTTTGACATTTATAATAAAGGTGAAAAAGGAATTAAAAAGGTGAAATAATTTTACCTTTTATGCCCCCCTAGCAAATTAGAGTTGCAGAAGGAGTTTACTTGCAAAAAGTAGAAAATATATTGCACCTTAAACAATTCCTATTGCTATAAACGGTAAAGTGTCAGCATTGAAAGGCTTCAGCACCTGACTCACCTTTAGCTCCAGTTGCGTTGAGGACCGTCCTGACTGTATCGTCCCGTTGCGGCTGATCCGTCCTGCAGCCTTCAGCAGCAATAATCCAGCGGTAGAACTACAGCGCGAGCGTTTCTACCGCGGTGACTGGTGAAGCCGCAGAAACACCGGAAGTTGACAGCTCCGCCCTTCAAAATAAAGCCAAATTCTGGAAACAAACAACCACGTCGCTAGGCGAGCCCAATAAAATAAAGGAATAAAACTTTGACTTAAAATGATCTTGTTCTCAGGTTTCTAACTAGCTGAAAATATTTTACTTCTTGTTAGCTGAATAAATATAATTTCTAATGAACAAACTAAATTTACATATACTTAATAGTATCATGGCTTATTTTCACCTCAAACCTCAAATCCCAGTGTATGAAGCCTCATTCTATCTCTATTCTCCCACTCTGCAGAATTTGTCTCCAACTTTATGCTCTCTCTGCTTTTTCTCACAGTAGCTTCATCTGGTCTGTTGCTGTTTGGCTGTGACACCATCCTGAAAATAAACATCAGCTGTGCTGCTGCCATCAACACCTTGGTTTATAGTTGTTTGAGATTGGCCTGTTTTTTTAGTGTAGTCCTGTTTCTCTGACTGTGACTGGCTGGATGTGCTCTCTTCTTCCTCTGACATGGGAGCTGGCTCGGAGCTCGTCTGCCTGGCTGCATGACTCATGGATGGAGCCGCCTGTGGACAGTTGCGTTTTGCATCTTTGCATTTTTCTGTATCTCAGCTTCTGTCTCCTTGAACCCCAGTCGGCCTCCGCTGATACCCCCTCACACCGCTTCTGCTGGAGGTTTCTTCCTGTTAAAAGGGAGCTTTTCCTATCTACTGTCGCTACAAGCATGCTTAGTGTGAGGAATTGCCTTTGAATCAATGAGTCAATGCAATCAACTGGTTTTCCTTAAATAGAAAACTTTGAATCAAATTGACTGTATGATCTTGTTGAATTGTAAAGTGCCTTGAGATGACGTGTTGTGAATTGGTGCTATATAAATAAATAAAATTAAATAAATATTATTTTTATTTATATTTGATGTGATAAACCAGTAGTCTCCAAAATTTAACAGTGAAGACATCAAAAGGATTAAGTTCAATAATTAAAAAAAAAAAATCTTGTTAGATTTTCTTATTTATTTGTTATTTATTTATCATAAGTATGCATGATTTTTTTATGACCATACTAGCCAGACTTTTGTTTAGATAACTGTAAATCTTTGTGGGTTCAAAGTTGTGTAAAATGTTTTGCACAAAAACACCGGCATATAGTTTGCTGCGTTATTGGGTCAATGTTTTTTGTTTTTAGTCTATTTTTATAAGGATTTTTGTTGTCTGTGAAATGTTGCTCAGCAAATTGACAATACACTTTTATCTGTGCGTGCAGGCCAGAATTTCCACAGTACACAGCTGTAGTCAGAGGGAGCACAAATGTTTTTAGAGGAATAGAAGCTCCTGCTTGACCGCATTTAGTACTTTCTGTGATAAATCAAAACAAATTTCCTGACATATGGGAAGTGGTACATAGCAGTCCGTATTTTTTTAACAGAGAAAAATCTGACCATGTGTCATATTGGGGTTGATGTTGTTCAGCATGTTTTTTATTGTCCTACTTCTGCTTGCGTGTTCGCATAAAAAGTTCAGTTCTGGTCTAACCAAAACTGACCAGATCATAATCTTCCACAAACAGAACCTCTTAATGCTTTATTTCAGCTTTTCTTTTTGGTGCAACTCCCACATGAAAGCCATATTTTTAGAGTGGTAACAGCACTATCCCAAAGTTTACACAACATTGACCTCTCTGGTGTTTTCCTTAAACTGAATGATGCTGTTTTATCAGAAAGAATATCTTCACTAGCATTGTGCCGATGCCATTTTTTGGCCCCGATACCCGATACATGGCTGTACAGTATCGGCTAATATCGATACCATCCGTTTGAAATCGATGTGTGTGTTTATATATGAAGAACTGCATACTACTTGGATGTAAAATAATTGCCATCATGGCTTTGTCAAGCTGCTGCCTACCCCTGTGAAGCAAGAAAAAGACTAATACAAAGTGAATCCAGTAGAACTTTTTATTGCTTACCTGGAATGGGTAGCAAAAGTTAAATAAAACTTTGGCTGTCGATACCGATACCAATACCACCATTTCAGCTTAATATTTGTGAAAATTAGACATTTGTACTTTTAAAATAAAATATTGGCCCAATAAAAGATTACAAATAACAATGGAATTCTTGGTTGTAATTTGGCGAAAAGGTATAACTGCCTTCGCAAGGCATATTTTTTTCACTCTTTTTACCAGTTTTAATTTTTATTTTTTGGTGAAATATTTAATAATTTCCACTCTTATTTTGAAACTATCCACCGGTAGTTCCCTTTCCTTAATCAAGTGATATTCATATCCATTGCTGGTCCCTCAGTCCACGCAGCTCTCCGCCCCCTCCTTCCCTCCCTGTTCCCGCATAAAGCCAGCCTTGTTGGTGCCTTAGCCAAGATCTGCTTCCAGCAGAAGGAAACACTGCTGCCATTCACTTCTAAAAGCCAACATCAAGTCTAAATGTGAAGTCCACATCCTAAGTTACTGAGTAGATGGTGAGGAGGGGGCTCTCAATCAGGCATTGTATTAGAACTGTGCCACTTTCTCATATCTGCTGGTATCACCTGGGGCTCAAAAGAGTAGAAATTTGCTGCGTGATTTATTTATTCAGTAATTTTTTCCAAAAAGAGGCCAGGCTTGGAAAAATCTTTTTTTTTTTAACCCCATGAGCCCATAGTATATTATAATTTATACAATGATATATTAAAATTTGACTTTTGAAGAGAAAAGTTTCATTTTGTGGAGTTTTTTCATGTTGATGCAAAGCACATTTGTCCCCCTACCTTTGTGACTTATAAATATCAGAAAATACCTCACATTTCTGCCTAAATTTTAAAGCGATAATGTGCAAAACCTGGAAAACATTACTGTTTTTATCCTTCCATCTGGCACATTTCTAACTTCAGACTGCTGTCATAACAGTGAATATCTTTTTAATATTAGGCATATAAGGATTTCTGGGCTGGAATGATTGTGTCACTTTCCACTGAACTGCTTTAAAAAAGAAAAAATTTTCTGGATATGTTTATTTTTGTTTATTTTCTATTTTCTTGATAGAAATAAAATTGTATGCTTGCTCGTAGGAAATTATTGTGTTTTGAATAATCTCTAAGCCTCTCATGTTATTCTGGCTGGAAGTTTGACTCTCTATATATCGGATATTGTAGAACTAAAAAAATAATTGCTAATAATTGCTTTTTTGCCTAAAGCCAGTTCTAACCATATAGGGCACCGCCTTATAAAAGGTTTAAGGTTAGGTCTTTGTGGAGGCCATTTTTTCTATAACTAGTTTGGGGATTTTTATCTTGCTGAAAACCTAGAAAGAGTAAACTGCTCCAAGAATCAATCTTTTGTCTTGATTAGGGTTCACAGCTGCCCACAGTTCTGTATTCAAGGCTAAACAAAGAGTAAACTATTTGACTTTAATGACAATAAGTTAAGAGAAGACAATTTAAGATTTTATTTCTACTAAGAACACTTTACTCTCATGGATTGTTGTGGTGACAATCATTTTTAGGGTTTGTTTTGCAAGTGTTACCTCTGTTACTTATAGGGGGAAAAAAGTATGTATGATGGATTCCACATTCTCATTTCAAAAAGATCACTAGATGGAATAAATACAGACTCAAATCGTCTACTGGACTGATAACCTCCCGCTCACTTACAAACTTGTTTTGTAATAAATAAAACACACTGTAAAGCTTCCTAAATTTATAATTTCTCAGAATTTTTGAAAATGTGTAGACTTGGCTGAAAAGTTGGATTTCTTGCTGCAAAACCAACCAATTAAGCTCTACTATAAAGAGCTGACTAATATTAGTAGATTTTTTTTAAAGATCTTGTTGATGGATACAAAATGTGTGGCTACTAAAAGAAATGTAGTGGAACTGCGCATGTTTGTACGTATATTCAAACCGTGGGTGGTTTAACAATATTCTAATAACAATATTCTGCTTCTGTTTCCTTGAACCCCAGTCGGCCTTGGCAGATGGCCGCTCACACTGAGCCTGGTTCTGCTGGAGGTTTCTTCCTGTTAAAAGGAAGTTTTTCTCTCCACTGTCGCTACATGCATGCTTGGTGTGAGCGATTGCTCTCGAGTAAATTAGTCACTTTTACCTATCCTATTCCCTATGATCTGGTTGAATTGTCTGTAAATTGCCTTGAGATAACATGTGTTGTGAATTATTGAGATATAAATAAACTTAAACTGAATTAATAAAGAAATAAAATGATTAAAAGGCCCCAGTTAGTATGAAATTCATGCTAATAAAAGTACAATTTAAACATCTGACCAAAACTGCATGTTTATGCACTCAATTAGTTGATTAGTTATACAAACACAATTAATGATGAATCTATATTTAATAAAATCCTTGAAAGTTCTGGATCTTGTGTCTCCTTTCCCACAGTAGTTAACAGACCACAATAGAAATCCACGGTAAAGTGCTAATTTAGGCTTCATTTTGAAACCACCTAGAATCTATAATTTTCTTGAAATAGGTAGATACTCTGACAACAGATAAATGTTAAATAATGGTCATACATAGGAACAATGCATGCAAAGAATACACCCTGCAGATGCTTCTATTACACTGTAATCTTGTGGTATATTCTATGAATTGTATATATCTCAGTGGGTGCAGCAGAGGTTAAGTTACCATTTTTATAGAGGCAACAATGACATCTTGTGGCGGCTTGAAAAATCCTAACCTCTAATGGGAAAAAAAATAAATGATGCAAACAAGATCAATACATTTCTAGATGTCATGACACCACCATCCACTTTGATGTGGTGCAGAGGACTGCAGCTTTGATGGCCTTCCTTCCATCACACCAAATTGTCTCTGTCGTTTCATTTCAGATCAGGTTGCATAATTTTTACTTGTAAAAAATGAAAAGTTTGCCGCCCTCTCAAGATATTACTGTTATTAAGACATAAAGAAAAAAAAAACAATGCCGTGATTCAGGAAGGGAGCAGTTAACTTCTTGACAGTGCAGATAATTAGATACCGTGAACACTTTGAAGGAGTTTCAAAGAAAATGAACCTACAGGGATCAGCCTGCGCTCTGAGAATCGTGACGTCATGCTATTGGATGTATTTTCACAAATTGATAGCTACTGAATCAGCACACACAGAGGAAACATGCAATTAGGTTTCTTGGTGGCAAAGGTGCAAGCATGCTGGAAACAGACCCTCTGGGATTTCTGACATTTAATGAGGCAAAAGGGAATCAAGTTTGTTTTTCTTTTTTAAACAAGCTGAGTGGTAGGGAACTGAAAACAGCATTAGAGATCATAAGATGTACATTTTATTACCAATTACATATAAAAAACATAAAATGAACAAAATTATGAGCTGCTTAAAAATATATAGCCAAAGTAATGTATTAAAAGTCTCCTTATTAGGAGGAAGATGTAGTAGAAATCCTAACTGTTGCAGAAGGATGATTTAATGTAACCTGAGATCTACAGCAGCTGTGAATCATACAGTTTCCCTTACAGCTGAGCCTGAGATGAATCTTAAATGCATAGGAAGGTCTGTACTAGAGCAGTATTTCACTGCATGTTTGCAAAGCTGTTATCAAAGAAGCTCAATCACAGTGTTATAAGGTTGAAAAATACCATCAGTAACAAGTGAGAGATTTTTTGGGTAAATGTTTTTTTGTTTCCTTTTGTTTTTTTTCATTGTCACTTTTTTAATTTATTCTGCTGAATATTTTCGTAATTGACTTTTGGTTTATGCTTCTCCTTAACCCTTGAAGTTCTGAAAGATCTCAGCAGCATCCAACCAGGACCTGAAGCAGTCCAGGCCTCGTTCTCGGATTTGCTTCCTTCCTTTATCGGTGATCACATCTCCGTTCTCCTTCACGATCACCAGTTTGGGGACGGCTGTGATCTTGTAGCGCTGCTTTAACTCACTAGAAGAAACAAGAACAAACAAACAAAAACAAGTTACTAACTCAGTAATAACGTGTATACTATCATCAAAGCTCAAAGCAAGGGTTTAATTCGTTTTGTTCTCCTTTTTTTCTTATTATCTGTTTAAAAAAACTGATTCTGGCTAATATTTTCTCATTCATATTTAACAAGAGTTAAATTAAGAACAATAAGAGGAACAGAATCTGTTGCAAGTTTATTTAACCCAAACTCTTGTTTTACAAATAGCATGTTCTTCATCTTTTCAGTCTGTGTTACAGTTAATACTAATAACTAGGGCTAAAACTAATGATTATTTTGCAAATCAATTAATCTGTCAACTATTTTTTCGATTAATCATTTAATAATTGGATAGCCAAAGGACCCTTAAAGAATACATTTTTATGAAAATAAACCAGATAGACTCAAACTTTTTCACTTGAGGAGTTCGGGATAGAACATAGTGACAGACAATTTATTTTCAACCTTCAAAAATTTTTTTTTTAATATTTATATGTATATATATTTTACAATTTTGATATAAATACTGCTCTAATTGGATTGTTCTGTCAGCTAAAGGCGTTTTTTACCGTCTCTATATTCTGTTTAAAGAATAATCGATTACTAAATTACTTGACGATTATTTCAATAATCAATTACTCATGATTAATCGGATTAACTGTTTCGACCCTACTAATATCTATTTACGGATATATTTGCAATTATTTTGGAGGTTCTCATAAATAACCTTATCTATGTATTTTTCATTTTAAGTTTCTAGAATTTATGCATATTTATATCTATAGGTGTTTCCCCAGTTCCCTTTTCAACTACAACAGCTTTTTCTTTTAATCACTTATTATTACAGAGGTTTACTTGGGCTTATAAACTCTTTGCTTTATCTGCTATAAAGCACAATGTGGTACAGTTGTCTACATAGAAAGCACTAAATAAATGTATAATTTTTACACACTTATAATTAGGGAAATACATATAGATATAAAGTCTGTTCATACATTTCTTTCTAATAAAATGATTATAGTTATAAACACCCATTATAAAGGTCAGGACACAATCAGTCTGCCCTGCATTTAAACCTAATCCTCGGCAGGGTGACCCTCTAAGTAGTTTACATAAGCTACAGCTCAAAAGAGCGGTATAGACTGTAATATTTTATCTAGTTAAATAAAAATTCACTAGTTTAAGCACTTGTTCACAGTCAGCAGCGACTTACTGCTTGTAATCATCATTCCAGGGTAAAGCCAGCCAGTTTCCGTGCATGTCATGATAATATTCGACCATGTCATCAGGAGACTTGTCAGAGGAGATAAAAACGATCTCAAACTGAGCAGGAGGCTCGCTCTCTTCCACCAGCTCTGTGTAAAAATCACACAGAATGGGCGTGAAGTCCCGACACGGTGGGCACCATGCACCTGAGAAGTAGATCCCCACCACCTTGTTCCGCAGAGCTTCCTCCGGGTCCACGAACTCCCCGTCTTTATTCAGGAGAGTCCGACCAGAAAATACCTCCACCATGTCTGCCAAACTCTCATACACCTAAACACACCGAGTCCGAGACCTTTACGGTGTAGACCCGCTTTAGCTCATAGTTGTTCTGTTTAACTGTCTATTTGTTATATGTTTAACTTCTTTTCCGCAAAAGCTCCTTACAGCCAATCCCCATAAATCACCTTTCGACCAATCAGATGGTGAGAAAGCTGTGACGCGTTTACGGTCACTTTGCAACGGCATGTGGTTGCTATGATACAAAGTGGCATAGCCTGCACGGCTTTTTACAGCTGTTTGCGGCATTTTTGATGTCAGACTTGAAGTTTGGTAATTAAATCACATTTTATTATGGACTAAATATTGCTTAATACAGGTTAATACGGTGGCCCAGAGGGGCCAACACTAATACAAAAGCTGCAATGCAAATACAAAAGCTGCAATATAAATACAAAAGCTGCAACGCAAATACAAAAGCTGCAACAAAAATACAAAAGCCACAACAAAAATATAAAAGCCGAAACACAAATGCAAAAGCTGCAAAACAAATACAAAAGCCACAACAAAATATAAAAGCCACAACAAAATACAAAAGCCGCAACACAAAAAAACTTTGTATTTGTGTTGCGTCTTTTTTATTTGTGTTGTGGCTTTTGTATTTGTGTTGTGGCTTTTGTATTAGTGTTGACACCCCTGGGCCACCGTAGGTATACGAAAAAAGACATAAAAAAAAATAAAACACCTAAAATATTACAGAAAACAATACACAAAGCTAATTATACTTATGGGATGGGCAATTATTTATCTTCCCAGAGTCACATGACAAAACCAGGACTGCTTTATGAGCATTAGCTGAACACTTTTTAAAAGTAATTTGTATGTAATTGGATGCATGGTGGTTCAATTTGTAGCACTGTTGCCTTTCAGCAAGAAGGTTCTGGGTTTGATTCCCGGCTCGGGGTCTTTCTGGATAGAGTTTGTATGTTTTCCCTGTGCATGTGTGGGTTCTCTCCGGGTACTCGGACTCCATCCCACAGTCCAAAAACATGACTGTTATGTTAGTTGGCTTCTCTAAATCTTCCTTAGGTGTGAGTATGTGTGTGTGTGAGCATGGTTGTATGTCTTTGTGTGACTCTGTGTTGCCCTGCAATAAACTGGTGACCTGTCCAAGCTGTACCTAGCCTCTCGCCCATTGAGGCCCCCGGAGATAAGCACCGGCCACACCCCAACCCTGACAGAATAAGCAGGAGATTGGATGGATTTAGAAAAATGTCAATCTGATTTTTTTTTTTTTATCTTAAAACAACAGCAAGCATTGCATCCAAACATTGAAATGCAAAGAACCATATTGGCAGATCAAATTTCTATCTTTACTATTTCATTATGTTTTGTTTGTTTGATTTCCTCATAAATTAGTCAAGACTATAGGGTTTTAATAGTGACCTGTCAAGGAATGTACCGTGCCTCTTGCCCAATAACTGCTGGAGATGGACACCAGCTCCTCAGCAACCCTCCACGAATAATTGAGTATAGACAACGGAAGGATTAGTAGAAACAAATGATATAACAAATTCATATAAGTTTGGGGGGGGGGTGTATTGCATATTTTCTTTAAATTTAATGCTATTTCTAATGCACAAACACACATCCCCACTGTTGTAGGCTTGAATCATTCAATACTTCATGTTTGTTATTTGTTTTATGGTTATTTACATCTTTTTATTCATTTTTTCAGTTTACGTCTATTTCTTGGAGGACTATCACATTTATTTATTGTTAAACTAAATCCAGATAAAATAAATGCTTTTACTTATCTTTTCAGCCTTAAAAAGTCTTCCATGTAATGTTGGTAAAATGCACATAGAGGTCAGTGTGTTACAGTTTCCCTGCCTCCTCAGCAGAGAGCAGAGGTCATTTTGAAAGAAAGCCAGCCATTCTTTTCTTGTCCAGCATTTGCCTCCCATCAGCAGATTCAAGCAGTCTGTGTCTAAAGAGCAAGAAGAGATTTTTACTTTGTGTTTTCATACATTATTTTCCCTCTTTTAACAACATGACCTCTAATTCCAATTTATCCAACATGCGACGGCTGGTGGAACAACTAAAACTTGAGGCCAGCGTGGAAAGAATTAAGGTAGGAACCTAGGTGTTACTGTTAAAGCCTGCTCATCTTGTTTGTTTTGGCTTTCCCACTTGTCAGCATTGACAACACACTGTTGTATGTCAATATTATGGCTTTCTACAAAATATTAGGCTACTTTTACTGTTCCAGTGTCATAATTTAGCTAAAAGATCATCCGTAAAATTAGTCCTTTTCAAGTTAAATGATTAAATACTTTAATAGAATTGTAAATTTTTATAACAGATTTGTTATGATGATTATTTGCAAAAAGCTTTAAACATGTTTTTTTTTTTTACTCAGGCAAAAATATGTTAGCATTGCAATATTTAACATAACTGAAGTGTATTATAAAAAGAATCTGAGTAGTTTACCAGTTCAGGTTTGTTGCAAAAACTTTTTTTTTTTTGCGTAAAAAAATTGATAGGTAAAATTGCAGTTAGTAAGATACAGTACATAATGTTTTTGCCAAAAAGGTGATTCAATCTTTTCATGTTAATTGTTTGTTTTTTCAAGGTGTCCCAGGCAGCTGCAGAGCTGCAGCAATACTGTCTGCAGAATGCAGGAAAAGATGCCCTGCTGGTCGGAGTCCCTACAGGGAGCAACCCCTTCAGAGAGCCGCGCTCCTGCGCTGTGGTGTGAAGGTCAGACTCTGCAAAGTTCTCTGCTTATCAGTGAATATCTATTATGTCAGCTGAGTTAAAAAAAAAAAAGAATAAGAGATTTTGCACGTTTTACAGAGTACAAAGACATGATGGACCCAACTGCCACATCTCCTGTAAAGAAAAGGACATTTTAACATTTTGGCTGTTATCCAGATGTTTTTTTTTTTCTAAACTGTGAACTTTTTTATGAATATGAAAAATATGAAAATGGATCATAATAAAAGTTCTTTTGTTATATATACGTCTTTTACTATTTTTTGATTTACTTGTATGTTTTTTGGCACAATGCAATGTTTTACTCAATGGCAGACTTTTTTCTCTCTTTAAGATCGATCTCTGTGATATACAAAAGCAGAGTGATGTTGTGGCTTTCTGCAAATTATACAAAAAGGACTATTAAAGCTGTTCTTTAAATGACACTTTGGAATCTAATGGCGCTGGAACTTCCTGATGCTCAGTCTAAGTTAGGAACACAGCCAGAGAGAGGAAACCCAGTCTTCCTGTTCCAAACTGCAAAGACACAATGAAAGATAAACCGAAAGCTGGTCGCTTTCCTTGACTTGCTTGTAAAATCACGCCATGCTATGAGAAAATCACACAACAGTGTTTGCATAAATAATAAAGTTCATATACTTAAAATGAAAAATCCTGTCTTTTATAAGAAGGTGATTTCATTTAAACAAAACCTATTCCTGTATATTTGATTGTAAACAGTTTTAGTACGTGTATCAAACTGACCCTTTGGTTTAGTTATATAAAGTTTATTACAAAAACTGTCAAGTTCAGCACCTATAATGTCTAGCCGGTCATGAGACAACAACTTTTTATCACCTCCTTTTCCTTTTCGGGCACTCTTTAAGGAAAAGTCTGTAGTGTTTTCCCTATAGTGCTACCATTACCACTGATCTGTCCTTCAATTGGTCTAAAACATTTTTCATGAATTTCTGTGTCTGAAATAGAAATGCACAGCTGACCTTTTAGCTTTGCTGAATGTTTGATATTATGTTGCAATGAAGAAGAGTCTAAAATATATGCAAAGCAGTAAAAGCAGCTTAAGCTGTCTTGGTTTTCCTTCACTGTATCTCTTTAATCTATGAGTCCATCCACCCATCCATCCATCCATCCGTCCGTCCATCCATCCATCCATCCATCCATCCATCCATCCATCCATCCATCCATCCATCCATCCATCCATCCATCCATCCATCCATCCATCCATCCATCCATCCATCCATCCATGTATTTCACAGAAATTTGCACTATGTATAAACAAAAGCACATATATAATTTATTTACCTTTAAACTTTTACCGATTCATCTTTTACAGTAAATAATTTAGAATATAATTCTATATGATTCCAAACTCCATTCCAAATTGTAGCTGAAACAGTTTTTAAAAAGTATTCCAGCAGTGCAAACTTCAACAGTCACATGAAATTATGACAGAGGGTGATTAAATGAGACCATATTGAAGCCTAAATTCCTACAGCAACTACCTCTGACTTTTTAACACAGTGGTTCAACAGTGAAACAAACCTAAAATCCTTTCAAACTCAGATCAAATACTGTATGTAACACTAAATGAGATGCTCAAAAAGTTTACCGCAAACAGGGAACCTCTCTTTTTTCTTACACAAAAGCAATCCATTTGTGCCTCTGGTCATATATTCTGTTTAATATTCGAACATTAGTAGTTTAAAACCTTAATACGATCTACACTATTTCACAATTTGTTTTACTTATTTCCTACCGACTACCAGCAAAGGGACTTTGATACATTGACTTGAAACATTGCAAATGGAAATAATAGAACACATTGCTATTCAGCACACATTAAAAATGTGTATATTTTTCCTAAGTTACACTTGTTTATCTCATTTCTTGCAACTGTCGCTGATGTCCGAAAGACCACGATTATGTAGGAGTTAAAACTGGCTTAACTGAAAGACATAGACAGTTCCACAAGTCACAAAATGCGGAAAAAAGTGAGCAAAGATTCACCTAAAGGTTCAGGGTAAATCCAGACAATACGTATGTTTCTTTATTTGGCTGTGGTTCAACTCTGATGCTGTGGAAAATCAGTTGTATGAGTGATGACTAATCCTGGATTATTATTCTGGCTCCTGAAAAGTTTTTTTCTTTTCTTTTTTCTTTAACAAGAATTGTTAATAATCTTTACATAAAAATCTAAATGAAGAATGTTTTTTAATTGTAGGCCTCTGCTGTTCATCCTATATCAAGAAATGCACCACCCAGAATGGGCTTATTTTATATCATACTGCATGGATTTACTTTTAATCTATAGAAAGGGGTGATGTTACCGTGGAACAGCTCCAGTAACAGTGTCAGTTAGTGATAAGCCTGAGCTTGTTAGTTTCTGTCGAGTTTACCGTTTTGTTTCAGGGCAAACAAACTGATACGCTTTTTCCTTGTATAAAAAAACATCAAAGCCTGGGGTGTTTCACAGAACTGCTTTTCATCAACAAATTTTTTTGTAATGAGTTTTTTATATCTTACTAGATTCACAAAAGCTTCAGATGAATCAACACTTAATGATCTGAGGGGCCTAAAAGTAACAAAACTGACCTAAAGCTTCTGAGTGCTCTCTCTGGTTGAGCTCTAATCTGTCTAAGGTATAAGAAAATCAATCAAATCAGAGCACATATTGCAGGTATTACAGAAATCAGATGATTTAAAAAAAATAAAATTATAGTTTTTCTTCAACTGTTATATTTTAGGAGCCAGATATTCATTGTTTCAATTAAAGAATCTACAAAGGGACACCATTTAAGATTTAGCATTTTTGAAATTAAGTGTTATTAGAGTTGAAACAAGCAAACTAAATAAACAAAATTATTTTTTATGATTTACTGTGAATATAGCTTCTTGCTCTGTGAATTATTGGAGATGTTATTGACATGTACACTTGAACTATCTAAGAAAATTGTATTGTTTTTCTATTAATATATAATCTATACTTGTAGAACCAGACATTTTGCTTTAGTTACACCTGTAAGTCTTTTTGAAATGTCTCTACCAACTTTTCACATTAAAAAGCTGAATGTTTGCCCAAGACTCATTACAAAATAGCTTAAACTTATTTTCTCAATAAGAATTTGACTTACCAATTCTAACAAATGAATATTATTTGTTATAAACTCTTAATTTGTGCTCTGGCTGTGTGTATGGGGTCATTGTCCTGCTGGTAACTAAATAATGACCCATTCTCAAGCCTTTTATGACATCTGAAAGGTTCCTATCCTTTTCTTTGGTTATTTTGTGCTACCTGTCTTTTACCGTATATCAAATCTGATTAGCTCTCTTGTTCCTCTTAAAAAGAGAGTAACAACCAACAATGCATGCACACACACACCCGCTAGCTGCAAGGCAACATGGTTAACAGCTGCCCCACCATGCAGCCCTAATGTTACATAAGAAAAACTGAATACAAACATAAGTAATGAATTAAGTTCATATTTCACATAATCTAATGAGGAAAAAAGTCTTTACTTGAGTATGCCTGTTCAAATCCTTAGTCTTCCAGGTCTTGGCATCCACCAAACAGGCTCAAATTTAAGACAACTGGATTTTTGCTCACTTCTTTTAAGGACATTTTGACACCTATCCAGGATTCTTTATTGGTTTTTACTCCTTTACCATACTCTGTTCTGGTTGGCAAGCCAAATGTGGATCCCAATCCAGTCCACCTCTGCTTAAGTTGTTCTTTTTATTGTAGATATAGACAAGTGTGTAAAATTGTAATTTTTGCAATTTCATTACAGACAGATGTAATATTCACTTATAGGTGAATATAAAGTATTTTCTCCCAGTATTTAGCTCTTCCTCTAAGGTTTTTCTGTTTTTTTTTTTCATGATCTTGGCGCTGATGATTGGCTTAATTAATCATTTCATTCACCTGTCTAACTCTAAGCAGTTTCTCATTACTGCTCATCTGATCATCTGCTCTAGCTTCTATTTAACCTGCCTGCTACCAGTCATCAACGCTCATTATTCACAAGCCACTGATGAGATTATGTCAGCGTTACCTTAATATTTCTGATTACCTGTTCTGCCTCAACCACTGAGCCTGCCTGTTGCCGTCTGATCTGTCTTAACCTGCCTGCTTCCTGTCATCAGCCTAGATTATCTCTTGAGCCAGTGTGAGTGTTTTAGCATTACCTTAATGTTTTTGATTACATGATCCTGACCTGTTTCTGCCTGTCAACCAGTGAGCCTTCCTGTTCCCATCTGATCTGCTTGCCTTACCTATCATTGGACTCCTGCTGGATTCTTCCTGTTTGATGAACTTGGAGCTGTTTCCTGTCACCGACCTGGATTTGCTGTCGGAATCTCTTTGGACTTCTGATCTCCTGATTCTGAATCCTGAGCATGTCCTCGACACTGGCTTTGGCTTCGCCCTCTGGATTATCCTGCCTTCCTTCCTCTGCTCGGATCTGATCTCCTGCTTGTTCTCCATCCTTTGGTACTACAGCATCTGGGACTCTAAGAGTGGTGCCCGCTGCATGTTGTTGTCAGTTGACTGGCTGGAATCAACCTCATTCTCTAGGCACGGACTGAACTATAAAACCAGGTTATTGACTCACACGTTCGTAATCATCCTCCGCCAGATTAACATGGTCACTAATCTGAGTTTTCCTGCTCCAGAGGTTCCTGCCTTAGACGTCCTTGCTGTTACTGCAAAACCACTATCTCTTAATAAACACCTTTCTGGGAAATCTGTCTTTCTGCCTCCAATACTGGATCCTCCTGTTCTGAGCCCTCAGTTTTAGCTTTCTTGCCACACTTAAACAGCTCATCAAACAAATTTCTATATTGGACAAAGATATCAACCAAAAATAGAATACAAAAAAGATGTTTTAAAAGGAATATTTCTTTCATAGTTGGAAGAGATATCCAAATCCACCTGGGTCATGTAAAGCATGGTGCCCTAACTTTACCATCAATTTAACAGAATTAACCCAATTTTTGGTTTCACTGGTCACACCCAGGTCTGATTACCGAGATTACTGGATTCCCTTTCGTAGAACCTGTTTAACTACATGATCTAGGTTCAAAGAGCTTTTCATGACTGCAAAGACATTCTTAAAGCTGTGGGATTCCAGTGAACTAGGGTAAGAGGCCATTTTGGTTTCAAGAGTGCTCTGAAAGCCCATCCAGACAAAGGAAGCCAACAACTGACCAATGTATGCCTCGCTTGTCTCAGTTAAGGCCATGTTTAACTGAAACTGCTTACCGGAATGCTCAGTGTTGTTTCTAATGCCCCGTCAATAAGAAAAAGTCTGAGCATTTTGATAGAACTCCATAGCCAAAACACTCATCTTCTTTTTTCACCAGAAGACTCATCCTCATATCAGAATCTCTGCAGAATAGCAAAACAAAAATGTGATTATTAAATTTTCTTTGAAAGGCAAACAATTGTAACATAAAAAACAAAACAAAAACATAAAGTAAAACATGGTGGTGCGGTTAGGGCTCTAGCCGGGGGGGGGGCCCATGGCCGGTTCCACTTTGGGGTGGCTGGCTGCCGGAGGAGCCCCTGGACTCGTCCCCTTGGCTCCTGGAGGCTCTGGCATTGCGGTGGATGAGGAATTTCCTGGGGTCTCTCCTCTTCCCTCAGTGGTGGTGATGGTGGGTGGCGGGGATGCCTTTGGGCATCTGGGGTTTTGGGGTCCCCCAGCACTTGCCTCGGTGCTCTGGGCGGATTGGTCTTTGGGTCTCCACAACCACTGTTGAGCATTTTCCCTTTGGATAAACTTTACATGCACAGGTGCACTCTCACAAACAACTACAGGTGCTTGGCTTCAGGTACTTAGAGATTCACTCCCATACAGAAGCACATATTCTGACCTTCAGCTACCACAGTATACATGTCAGATTAAATAATTCAACTTATACTTCAGCGATAGTATCAAGGTGCCACTTTAGTGTATCCTTATACTATATCTGTTGGTTGCGCTGTTCTTTATACATCTCCTTGCAGGTGATGAAGCAGACTGAAGACGTTTTATTGTTGTCTCTCTTTTAATTCCTCTTTCTTTCATCTGTTCTCCATTTTCCTGTTTTATTTACATTGCAGTGTCCATACAATCTGTAACACTCCCTGCATAATTTTAATAAAGCTTTTTATATGCATAAATCAAGCGGAACACTATGGCGATACCAGTACTGCTCCACTTGTGAAAGCAAAATCTGTTGGGCCCTTTTTTGGCATCAAGACAATTATTCTTATTGCCACATTGCCAGACAGGACACTGTCTAAAAAAAGAAAAAAATGGCGGTGGTTGCATAATTATATGAAGCTGCCTTTTTGCTTCCAAATCTGAATGACATGGCTCAGGCAATGAAGCATAAAAATTTACCTATACATCAGAAAATCCTGAATGTCAAAGCTTCTGACCTTAGGCTAATGCATCAATGGGTTTTGCTGCACAGCAGTAATCTAAAGTAAGGCGACAATTACATTACTAAATATCCTAAATAAAAGCAAAACATAGGTTATCAGTTGTGGCTTGACCTTAAACAGATCATTTATGCTCAGATACCCTTTTATTGCTGCTGAAGCATTCCTCCAAAATGATTTGCCCCAATTTGTTGCAACTTTCTGATGGCAGTTAAGTTGCAAAACCAGTTATCAGGTTAGGATGCTATCAGCTTTTCCTCCTACACCCTGGTTGTGAAACTTTTTCATTAAGAAAATGAAAAATATTGTCTATAATGGAGCATCTTTTTAAAATGTTCTTTATATTTCTAGCAATTGCTCAGCTATGAAGCTCTGTCAAACTATGCCATCTGGTGTTCAAGTGAACAAATTATGGTGAAATGCTGTCATTTACAGCTGAAAGTAGCGGAAAAATATTTTCTGTCATTAGTAGTATATGAAAAGGGATTATTGAAATAATTAGTATGATCAATCGCAAAATGATTCATCGCAAAATCATCTGTTGTAAACACGTTGATCCTTAAACAAATAAAGAAAAACATACAATTTAACTGATAGCCTTTGACATTGAAACTTTTATTAACTTCTTCTTTGGCAGAGTTTCTCCTGAACAACAAAATGTAACAGTCAGTTAATATGTCATTCTGCCCTCCTTTTTACACTGTTAGTTTAGTTACCATGCACAGCCCTAAAGCACAATGCAACACACATTATAAATAGAATCAAATGTTAGTCTGGTAAACAGGTTTCCCTTGACTGACAATAACTACTCCACCTATCATTTAATTCTTGTAAGGTAAAGAGACAGGACTTTAGAAAGGAAACAACCTGAATGCGTCTAGTGGATTGTCCTTCCTTTAAAGGTGTGGGCGGAGAGTAAAAAGACAGAGTCAGGTTTCACTGAGCCTTCCCACTCCAGACTCAGCTTGGTGGAGCTACAGTCCTCAGAGCTGCTCTGATCTTAGTGCCTCCGTCCCCTTCTTAAAGCCTCTTAAAGCCCCATATTTTGTTTTGCTCTCTTTCTGGCTTATATGAATATAGTTACCATCAATGAAGAGCCCTGATAGGACACAGCGTTTGGAAATTTCCACAAACTGTCCACACCTCTTTCTAACACCACTGACCCCTGGAAAGGATTTTAACCTCTTGGAATTCTTTTTGCTTATATGTGTGAATTCTCAGAAGACTAATGACAATCTCTGTCAAGTAAGGAGATGGCAAAGATGAACAGACTCTATGTTGCGCTACTAACAGGTAAGAATCACTTTCCTATTGCTTATGTTAGAATGAGGGGTCAACTTTATTTACTGCTTTATTACATGAAGGTTTCAAAACTTGATAAGATTTGTATAACACAGTAAAAATTGTAGATGAATATTTTATTGGAAGGCTGTTTTTCAATATTTTTGTTTAGTTGTGAAGTCTAAGAGCATTTTCCTACTAATATCTTTAAAGAAGCTTCAGAGTTGGTTAATATTTCAGTGGAGATCCTATAAATCAACAATATATTATCTAACTCTACACTAATCATGACATTTGAAATAATCCTGGCTATAGTTTGAAACATTCTGCGATTCACTAGAAAGTAAGTAAAGCTAGGATGGGAGAGGAACTCCTTCTGCAGTGTCAAATGTAGGCAAAAATTGGACAATGTGTTTGCACACTTTCCCAATGAATATATTTAAATGTGTGTCTGTGTGTGACTATTTTTTTTAAATTGGTTTTCTATCTGAAGCTCTAGCCTTGTGGAAACATTGCCTGGCAGAATGGAACACAACCGATGGATCATCCACCTGCCATCTTCATGGCAAGATGGACAATTGCACAGGTGAATACGGTACAATCCCTTATTGATGTCATCAATGGCTGAAAGCTTTGAGGTCATCAAAGCAGACACTAAACTGGTCAAAGCAGTCTAGGTAAATAGTCCCGGTAATCTGTGACTGGATTATGGCTTTTGTGGCTTGTTGACGTTCCACCTCCTTCTATTCATCTTTGGCAGGATTATTTGCATGAAAATGGATGATGAAATGTTGCATCCCAAAAGAAGAAAAAAAGAAACTTGCTGCCTTCGATTTGTCTAGAACACACAAACTTAGATTTATAATGGAGAACATGTAATCATAAGGTGTTTAATAAAAAAAAAGAAAGAGAGATTTGCTTATTTTGGAGATCCCACAAGACAAAGTTAAACAGGTCTCTAGTTCAGTTTAGATGCTACTAAGATTTTCGATTATATTTGTTTTGCTTATGATTTTTTAATAGTAAAATAAATCTATCATCTGTCTGTCTGTCTGTCTGTCTGTCTGTCTGTTTATGTGCAAGTGTTACACTAAGTGTCATTTTGGTAGGTTTAATAATGTTTGTGATCGTATATTTAGTATATTTATTATATATTTCGTATATTTATTATAAATATACATTATTAAACCTACCAAAACATAAAAACCTTACAAACAAAACCAATAACTGGTGAGATCTCAGTCCTTTTACCTGATCCAATCTCAGTCATCATGGTCATGGCAACCACAAAACACACTTCACTCAGAGGCAGACGGACTTTCTCTCAGTTTCTCTAAAAATATTTAGCACCCTACTGACAAAGACTCCTTAAAGTGTTTTAAGAGATTTTGAGAAATATCTGCTTGCCTCTTATTTAATTGTGAGGAATTCAATTTGGCTGTTATGACAGTTTGTACTGTTCTTTATTTATTTTATTTTTTTTAAGAAAATGTAATAAATCAAGGTGTCATCTCTATTAACTGAAAATGTCTCCTTCTTGCTCTCGTGTGGGCAAAACTAACAAACTGACTAAAGACAGGACAGAAGACAAAAACATTTTTAACATCTCATTGAAATCTAATAGTTCAACAGTTAGTTAGTTAGATAATTAGTCATTTTCATAAAAATAATACAATATTAATACATTGAAAGATTCCCTTTTTTAATTGCCTGCTTTTAGACATTTGGCTTTGACCTCTAAGCTAAACAAAATAATTATTTTACAAGTTGTTAGATTTGCTTTCTAATGTAAAAACCACTTTTAATATTAACCCAGCTCTTAAAAAGATGTTGCTATTTGCTCTTCTAGCTTACCTGTCACCAAAAAACACTGTTCTCGTCATCTTTTCTAACCATCTACAGGTACTGCCTGACTGCATACTCTAGAGGTTTCCTTTCAGCTCTGAGGTCCATGGTTCCAATCCATTTCTCATGTTTCAGCTAACAAACGGAGCACATTCATTGATGTCACCTGGAGGGCACTATGCTTTTACAAGCTCATTTTTTGTGTGTGGTAATTTCACTGAACCGGATTGTAAAGATAGCGGCAGCTTTTCAAGAAGTGCTACGTGAAAAGTGGTGGTCAGAAGTTCAACAGCTGTTTGAGGGTGTGAAGTTAGCAAGCTAAAATAAACACCTGTTTATTAAGGGAATGGAGATTCCAACTTTCATGTTTCAATTAACAAAGATCATGCTAATTGAGCCACATGGAAAATGAGTCCTTGATGACTCTAGGCCTTCACTGGATCATATTGCAGCCAGTCTATTAATAAATTAGGTCAGAGAGTCAGAATGTACGTCATAGTTGCAAGCTGACAGTATGTGGTAAAGTCACAGAGATAGATTTTACAGGAAAACATTTTTTTTGTGCTTTTGATCAAAGTGGGATCTAATGATTTAGAAATAACGTAGAGATCTGTAGGACAAACTGAAGTAGCCCACACATTTCAAATGTTTATGCACGTCACATGCAGAAGCTATCTGATGCAAAGGATGCTGTCCTGTCATTATTTTATGAATGAAATTAGTCTTTTAGCCTTATAAGAAAAAGGAGCTTGAAGCTGGGCACCTTTATTGGCTTTGCAAGTTTGCTTGATAATGCAGCATAAGGTCACAAATTAGATAAATGTTTTAAATTTGATCCAAATTTAAACTTTTGTTTACTATTTAATTTCGCCAGCAGAAAATGATATAGAAGAGTGGAATGGCCACTTCTCGAAATGTCCAGAGGAGCTAAAACATTATTGTATCCACGGAGAGTGCCGTTACATTAAGGACCAGGAAACCCCATCCTGCAAGTGAGTAATAGTTTGAGAAAAATGTGAATGAATAGACTTATAGAAAGAGGATAATTGGGAGGTTTTGTCATAAAGTATTTGATGAAAAAATAGTTTTTAGATGCATAGAAAATTAATTTTCTTTTTTTATGAAAAAAAAAAAAAAAATATAATAATTTAAATTTAAAAATTTTTGTCAGGTGCCAGAGTGATTACATGGGTGCCAGGTGTGAATATGTGAACATTTCAGAACCGTGGAAAAAGAACAGAAATATCATTATTGGATGCTCCATTACCGTTCTTCTGATCCTGATGATCCTCGTCCTTTCCATCTGCATCTGTTCACAGTAAGACTAATTCTTTTCTTACACTATATATACTTTTCCTTAAAGATAGTTTTGCCTCCTCAGACCAAGCATTAAGTTGTGAGTATTCCTTCTGACTTGGTGATCTATAAGTATTCAAATATCCACGAGCAGTCATAAAAGTCTAAGATAATATAGTAATTTCTGCCTTTCTTTACCTGTGTGGTCAGAATGTCACCAAGCAGATCTCATGATATGAATTTAAAATCTTTCATCAGCCGTTGACTCAAGGTGGCCTGGTACCAAGTATACCAATTATCACTCTTGTTTCAAATAAGGTATTTGTTCTGGACAGCCCATGCCTATAGCACAAATATCCAATAACAAAAAAAAAAAGTACGGGCCTTCACAATTAAATGTTTTTTTTTTTTTGTTTGTTTTTTTTTTTTTTACTAATCCCCTCTAGGTAACAATATCATAGTCCATTTGGGCTCTGAGGTCCCCAAAGGGAAACCATAAAATTCCACCTGTACATAAAGCAGATCCTCAAAAAACTGCAGTTCTATGCACAAACTCCACACCAGTCAGAAATGTAATTCCTGCATCCTGAGGTTGGAAAGAAGGAATCCTTTCTCTCATCTGGAAGGATGCTCATACCCATTAGCTGAGGGCTTGTCAGTATCCCAACTCCTCTTTCCCGCAGTATCTCTGCTAGGAATACAGTTCACGTCCTCGCCCATAGCTGGGCCCCTAAGACCCAGCTGCAATGTTAGTCCTAATGTAACTTGCTGGATTACCAGCTGGAGCTCCTTACCTGCCAGCCTGGTGACATTTCATATCCCAAAAATCAGGCTGTAACATCTGGATTTAGCCCACTCTTTCACCTGCCACCTAGCTTATCTGGGACCAAAACCCAACATTCGTCCCAAACTGTGTTGAATTTATGTGCATGTGGTCCGAAACATGTATCTCAGTCCTTAAATCCATTTTAAATAACCCCCCCTCCCTATATAATTTGCTTTTCATCATTATCACAGAATCGGTTTTAGTGCGACCCCATCCTCTGAGGCCATATTGCCATAGAAGACCCAACCAGGAGCCAGAGCCCCAGATAAAGTTGCCGTTTGGTTTAAAGGGTGCTCAGATTTCTCCCCCTATGCTTAAGAAACTTCTCTAAAAACAAATTATTTTTAGATTTATAAACAATTACATCATAAAAAAAGGTGATGATTACACAAAGATGTTACATAGCCATTTCCTAAGCCTCCGGATTGAAGAGGCACCATTTTTTGATGGAAAAAAAAAAACTTTGCACCAGCTGTATCTTTGAAAAAAAAAGCTGTTTTTGCAGTCGTTTGAGTTATTGCCCTCCATTATGTACCTTGTTTATCTTCTTTTCAGTCGCAGGTTCAGATTGTGTGGACAGAGAAGAAGACAGCCTGGAGAGCCAAAGAACTTGACAGAGAAGGACACCATGTTGGATACGAGTGCATCAATAACAGCAGACCCAGAGATACATACCAACTCAGTATGAGGACTCCCTCAGAGCCAATTGCAAGCCTGTAGGCATTACATGTATACACGTGGGAGAGCTGCTGAATGCAGCGTTGCTGTGAAAACAGGTCGCTTCATATGCTCTCTGAACAGCACCGAGGACCATGAGGAATACCAATTCACAAGGAAATGTGTCATCCTGGGATAGAACCTAAGGAGCTCCCTTTCTCCTTTTAGAGATCAGCTTTGTTTCAAACATTAAACAGGCTTGTGGAAGAAGAGGGAGATGCCCTCCTGGATTGATGATAAATATATGATGGGGGAGTGTTCAGCTGCCTTAGTGCTGGAGAGGAAGGCTTTTGTTTTAAAAGCTGCGGCCTGTCACCGAGTGTTGCTGGTCACACAGCACTAAATAAATTGTTGCTATGTTGGAAAAAGCTGTGAGACCAACTGGCAGCCAATGATAACAGCCAGTAAGGTTGTTCTGGAACTGTCAAGTGTGGAAGACAAATTTATACCGTATACCGTCAGAGGAGAGGAAAACGACTGTCCTTTTAGGGAGTCTGAGCAACATACATTAGCCTTTAAACAGAGTGTAACACCATATCTTACAACTACAGCCCCAGGTTTGTTTGCTGCTTCTTTGGCTTTTGTGTAATGTCACTGTTTCATTATCTGCACCACATAATGTTTAGCTATGACTTTAAATGCATCACTACAGATCCGTGTGTTCATTAAGCTTGTAAACAGTGTTGTTACTGATGTCCAACATCAGTGCAAGAAAAGAGACAGTAAGGAAGGAGCTACATTAACTGAAAGGCCTGCAGAGGATAAGTAGATATTATGCTGGAGGGTTTAAAAAAAAAATCTGTATTTGGAGGTGAGCAGCCTGTAGGCTACAGAACAGCTGAGTCTGTGTGCTCGACCTGACAGGGCTCCCCTGTTGAAGACAGTTTTAGAGCTGCCAAACTTTCACTGGGGTTTCAACATGTATCAGAGTCAAGTAAATCTGCCTCAGCCATTTAAATTAGCCATCAATAAACATGCTGTGGTGTAGTTGTACTTTTTAAAATATTTTTTACATATAAACGAAGAATATGTTTACTTCACAGTTTGTCTCTAAAAAAAAAAAAGTTTATTTCTACAAGAAGTTCCTGAGAAGAGGCAGTACAAACAACCTATTTTGGAGAGTGATTATAGACTCATATCTCTCAGTTTGTTGTTGAAGTGCTAGGCTAATGTAAGCAGATCAGATGTGTTTTGCTTCATGACACAAAAGATGCAGCAGCCATTACTGTCTCTCTGTTGGGTGAAGTACATCAGGACTGTTCAGGAAAAGCAAAATCATTAGTCCAGTAAAAGTTGTGTTTAATGCCTACTTTACAATTCTGAAATCCCTGCAAAAAAAGAAAAAAAAAAAGAAAAAGAGGATTTTTAAGTAAATAAAATTGACATTGTTCTCCGGCTAAAATAAAGTGTTTGGTTTCACTGACATAAAATTAGAAACAGCAGATATTAGGAGAGGATCTTGGACATAAACTTTTACTCTGGTCATTAGAAACAAACTTAATTGGAAACCCTAATCTGATTCTTTTGTTCGGAGTCCAAAGGATTGGATTGGAGTATCTCTAACCTTATGATCTTTTATCCAGCTAAAGTGGTTGATATTGTGAGGAACTAAAGGTAACGTGGTTAACAGACTTTTTGTTATCTAACTCTTATCAGCCTGACTTTAATTAACACAGCCATGTTGGAATTTCTCAACTTCATGCTAAAAATTAAACTGAACGCCTGGTGAAGTTTAAGTTTGACGTTAAGATGTAAATCCAAGGCTGCTACTTGTATGAAAGTTGCTGGAAAAAAACAAACTTAAATGTCTCATTTATAGGTATACAGTTTGTATATCATGAGAATACATTCCGACATACGACACTTAGACCACTGGACTATTTCTAAACATGTTTCCTTAGTATTTAAATACATAAACCCTAGAGAAACACATCTTCAAGTTGTAGTGCTACCAGTATTCAGCAACTTAAGCAATGGCAGATCCCACAGGTTTTCAGCTATGTAACTAAGTGCTCCACTTGACTGTAAACTACAGTAATTCCCAGGTTGGAGCTTTAGCCTTTGAGCCAAGTTAAATCTTTAAGTAGGGTAATTTCTAGTCACTCTAACTCATACCAAAACAAACAATATGTTATTAACAGAATTCAGAGAGAGAACTAAAATGAAATGGGATCCAGGAGTTAGAAATACTAAAGGAGGTTTGCAGTTAGGGAATATGACTGCTGAATTTGTACCAGGTTTATTTAGTGTTTCTTTGTGCAGGAATTAGTCTTAGCTTTAAGAGTACTGTTTACTGTGTACCGAAGCCTTTTAAGATTTGACTGATATTCACTGGGGGAAAGGGTTACAGTAAGAGCTTAAAACATAATAAAGGGAATAAATTGAACTTAACATAGAATATAAAACAAAAGTATAGAAACAAAAGGAAATTGACAAAAGTCGATAAAAGAAACTGCCATTTTATTAGAATTGGAAATAAAGATTCATGCAGATGCTGATCTATACTTAAAATGAAAACTAAATTTGAAGTCTTTTTAAAGCTGCATTAAAAGTGATCAATTGCCTGTGATAATTCATGAGAAACACATACTACTAAATTAAATGTAACTAGAAATCGAAAGAGAGACTGGTGCTAAATAACAAGTGAAACAGGAAAATAATAATTATTCTTCCAGTTCAAGAAAGCTCTGATGGTTTTTTCTGCTATACTGTCTGCTGATAACAACTGAACCCCAGTCATTAAAAAGGCAAATGATTTACATTCTTCTTTCTCCTTCCCAGATCATTAGACCACGTATCACTAGATAACAAAATGCTTTATATCGTATAGGCTGGTTTATATTCACCTAATGCTAACTTTGTTTGTAATGAAACAAACAACACATACTGTGATTAAGACGATCAATCCTCATAGTTTTACAGTGTTGTGTTGCCATGGTGCAGTAACACCGGCTAGACTCTGCACGGTACACCTGTGACTGTACAGTAAGTCCTAATTGTCCTCGGTCATAACTGTCTTAATTCACTTCTTGTGAATTTAAAAGAAGCCGCCCCCCAAGTTCATCTGGGATCAGATCAAATCTGATTTAACAGTTAGAAAGTTTTGAGAAATAGTCCTTTTTTTAGTGTTTTGCAAAACTCCATAGTATGCAATGATTTTTTTTTTATTTCTGAATATTAGAAGTGAACAATACCAATGGAGACTTTAAAAAAGTCTGCAATAATGTTTATTATTAACTTTGAATGTTTCCCTGTGATATCAGTGAAACTGTTTTCAAAGACATCCGTGGTATGCTGTAGTTTCTATGTGAAGGGCGGGTCAGAGGAAAACAAAACTGATAAGAGGATAGATAACGGCTAAATTGTTGTAGATGTTTGATCCAGAGCTGTGATGGGCTTACGGCCTATCCACTGGATGTATCCCGCCCTTAATCATGTGACTGCTGAGTTAGACCAGAGTCCCCTGGTTACATTTGACAGGACCAAGCAGGTTCAAGTTGGATTCAATCACAAAGTTTTTCTAATATTCTCCATGCATGTTTTGAAATAGCATGCCTACAAATGTGACATTTGAATCAACCGAAGCCAGGTTTGACACTGGATGGAAACAGCTTCACCTGTTCCCTCCTGACATGTGTGCAGGCTGAGCTTTGCTCTGACAACTGTGCAGAGATTAACAAATAGTTGAGTGATATGTCAGCACAGAGAAGGCTCCAAATCACAGGTGGACACTGTAAACCAAAATAGTAAGTGAGTCATAAAGGAAGTATTTTAAGCTTTTAGTTTGTTTTGTGTAGTTTATGTAAAGGCCACTGGAGGTCAGCAGTACACCACAGCCATTTAAAGTTCTCAGCAATAATAGCGCTGCAAAAGCTCACCTCTGAAGTATGAGTTTAACCAGATTAAACTATACTTGCTTTGCTTTCATCAGTTTCACATTTAAACCAAAACAAGTATGTTACCTAGACATATTACCAGCTGTTTTTTTATATATTCTATACCTTTTTATAAATGTAAGATTAAATTGTCTTAGGTATTGCTTATATATAAGGAACAAAAGAAACATAAATCTTTTTTTTTTTAACAAACACTGTTATTTACCAATGTCTTTAGTAATCACAATTTTTTTATATTCTTGGTTTTTCAGGATTCATCTTATTTAAGCCACAATGATGAACAGTTCTTCTGGCTTTCTAAAGAGCTTTTTGTTGTTTTTCTTTGGATGTTAGCTGCTGTTTGACTTTCACTTTAATTTGGATGCCTTTCTCAAGGCATGATGCAATGTGAACCTTTTAAACAGATTAGCAAATGTTTAATTGCATAATTGGATATTTTGACCCGTAACAGAACCTGGCCCCAAGACAAAATGTTCATTTTTCTTTCTTTTACAAGTCTAATACTAATTTGAGGTATAAACTATCACAGTCCTATTTTTCAGTTATCTACAGGTATAAAAGATTATGCTAGTTCTTAAAATAAAACCTCAACATCTAGGTCAAAACACATTTTCCAACACATGTTTAAGCCATAACATAAGTATGTAACAAATAGTTGGATGTAGAAATACCCACTGATGTGCTTCCTTGCTGCATGGAGATTGTTAAACTGTATCATCCCTCCTTCATTGAGATCTGCTTTTCTCTAAACTCAAACAAAAAAACATAAAAGAGATTAATGCTGCTAGACAACAAGGAAAGACAGGCATCAGGGAACTCATTGATAAACAAAAATCAGTCACAAATCAGTCATAAGAAACACAGGAAGGCTCCCACAGTGAGATTACTTGCTTTTTAGCCTCTGGGTATCTGATACTTTCATTTAGTTTCTCTCCTTGAGCTCCATTGTTTGGCGTTTGCTCAGCTTCCTCTGCATCCTGAGCACATCTATCACTACATTCCAGTACATCCTAATCCTTTTATTGAGACATCCAAATGTCAGTACTGTCATCTTGATTTGACATAGACATATGACATGATGCTGGGTATGCACCATTTCATACAACAGTAAAATGAATACTGTTACTCATCCAGCTAAATCTGAAAAAAAAAAAAAAACTATGTAATTTCAATCCCAAAATATTCAATGTTAATGTATTACATAGGTTCTTGTACAATAAAAAGTATAGGAGGTTATTCCTGAAGTGTTGGCCTGAAATTTTCTTTTGAAACTTGTCGGTCAGCAGGTTGCGGTGTGTTGAATTTCTGTCGTACATTTTTCCCACTTAGTTGAATAATTTATATATAAACATGAAATAAACTGGTTTAATTATGTTAATGACGACTTCTTTTGGTTCTTCACTTATTCACTTTCCCAAGTTTTATGGAATGGACAAAATAACATGTTAAGGGATGTGTCTTGGTTAAAAAAACAAGAGCAAAGGAGCATAGAAGATCGGGCTGCTTGTGCTTGAACTGAAAAGTGTTTTTATTAAAAATTTCACTGCATATAATATGCATTGAAATATATTAAATAGCCTCTTTTTTTAGCATTATAAAAAGAAAATTCTATTCAGATATGTGTTGTTAAAGCTGGATTTTTCTGCTGGATCAATCTTTCCATTTGCTGTGCATAGTTATGCTGAACATGAACATAGATACTTCTTTCATGTGTCAATAAAGGGTCTATAAAACCCCAGGTATAGGTCACTAGTCCACCATAGACATATGCAACCATTTGCAGCCACACTGATACCTAAAGGAGGCATAAATAATCTCAGATAAATCTAATTTGTTTATTGAGTGCTTGGGAAAAAAGCCAGAACTAATGAAATTGTAAAAAATGCAAATATTAACCAGGAAATTCATGATAGAAATTTCCCCTCAGGACTTTCTCACAGTCAAGTAGCAAAATCAGCCACTGCAACATCAAGCTGCCTCTCGATGCCTGTAGTTTCATATTAATCTGAATATGTCATATAAATTCATTAGAAAATATGAAGTAAAATAATTTCACAGCAGAATAATTGGTTCAGGACTTATATGCTTCTGTTAACTCTTTCCAAAACTAAGTATCAAACAAGCGCTTTGGGGGCATTAACTTTATATAAGCTTAATATCACTTTTGATATTATGAGTCATTGCCTCTCTATTTTAAATGTTTGTATATCCAGGGCAATTGTGACAGTTCTAGTGTTATTTTTACCAGAAATCGCCATGGGAAATGTGCAACCTAAATCCTTCCTTTTTTTTTTTATAAATCTGATCTGTATTCTATAAAGATGCAGCAACTATTAGTCTTCCTCTTCAAACTGATCCCTCCACCCTTTGAAGAAAACCGAAGAAAGTAGAAGGATCAGAAAACAATTACCTTGTGAGCAGGTATCTGTGGCTGGAACCGATGGCAGTGATATTGCAGAGGTATTTCCTGTCACAGAGCTTTTTCCCAGCTTTCCTCTTCAGCATGGCAGAGAGTCTGCCATGGTAATTCCTGGAGAGTGCTCTCAAGAAAAGAAGAAAAGGGCAAATGTGTGGTTAAGGAACAATAACCTGTTGACTCTGATTTTCATTTCTTCTACTTTGATCCCCAGAAAATAGAAAGATTTTGCCTTCTGGATTTTACTTGTGATGCAAAGGCTTTAATGCCCCTGTTTCTTTTCAATCTTTATCTCATACTGTATTTGTAATGCAGAAAACCTCCTTTATTAACATTGTCTAAGAACTTATAAAACATAATTTCCATAAAAAAAGATTTTCTTCTTTGATTGCATCTCTGATAATTAATATACATAAACAACCCTCCAGTTTTATTACTACTTCCCACATAGGAACTGCTTTTTTTTTTTTACTTTATCATGATTTCTAATCAGGTTTAATCATACAATGATAAAAGAAAAAAAACAAACTTATTTACTGACAAAACAAAGGCACACAACATACTAACTCTTCTTTTAGCAGTATGAGTTTAATGACAGGGTCACTGGAAATTCCATCAGTTTACCAGAACGAAATAAACAAATGCAAATAAGTTAAAAACATTATTCACTATCCTCTGAACAAGGTAACATTTGATAATGCATTTGCAGTAGAATGCAGTAGAGGTAATCTACTTTATGTTGTTGAGCTTATAATACAGTGAAGTTGTGGAGTCCCCTTGCTGAAACTATATTTCAGAAGAAATAGTAATTGAATTGAGAGCCAGGTTTTGGGGACAGATACCTGCCTTACCTAGTACTTGGGATCATTGAGCAGCTGTTACATTAAAAATATGTTCAACTATCGGACTCGAAATGTTTTATCCTGTTAAAAGAAAACTGATCAGGATGTTTAAAAAGAAGACCAGAACTGACAAAGCGTACCGGTAAGTCTGCTGTAAACTGCTGAAACCAATAAAAGTCTCCATGAAGAGCAAGATGGCTAAATTACAATGGTCCCAAACAGACAGGCTACCCAATGGCCCCAATATTAACCCGAAATTAAAAATCTGTCGCCCATTCGAAATAATGACAAAAAAGCAAATATTGACTGAGAATCTCAGGTTCTGATGTACTCTTACAATCACAGAGCATTTCCAAGAAAGTCATATTTCCTCAAGTTGTCCAAGCTGCTGTGACCTGTAAGACCTCAAACTTAACTCTTAGTCTGTTATGATAAATGCTGCTTTTCTTTAGACTCAGATGAGAATGTTACCTGAACCTTCCCTTTCACTTGAACTGAAATGTCATTATAAGCCTCACCGTGTTTGCAGTTAATTTCAGGAGCATGAGTCAGTTGCTTTAGGGGCTGCCACGCTTTTGTTGTTAAGGCAAGTTGAACTGAATAAAAGCTTTAGGACTTTCATCATCCGGCCTTTACTAATGAATATTGTGAATTCGCCTTACGCTGTGAGGATGAATTATCGTCTAAGGCAGTGATAAAATTATAATTTATGGGGATGTTACTTGAGCTTGTAGTTTCTTACTACCCATACAAAAAGTGTTAGAAAAAACACCAAGGAGGAAGAGTAGAAGATTTTGGTTAATGCTGGAAAACTTGTTTGTTGAATGTGCAAAGCACACAAAGATGTGTGCTTTGCACATTCAACAAAACCAAAAATACAACACTTTTGGTTTTGCTCCCACTTTTTATGAGATGAACTCAAAGATCAAAAACTTTTTCCACATGCAAAATATCACCATTTCGCTCAAATATTGTTCACAAGCCAGTCTAAACCTGTCAAAGTGAGCCCTCCTTTTCTGAGATAATCCATTCCACCTCACAGGTGAGCCATATCATGATGCTGATTAGACACCATGATTAGTGCACAGGGGTGCCTTAGATTGCCCACAATAAAAGGCCACTCTGAAAAGTGCAGTTTTGTTTTTGTTTTTTGGGTTTCTTTTTTGGAGGGAGTTTCAACGTGTTTTCTGCTTCCAACAATTGTGTACAGATGCTAGCAACTTACATTATCCTGCTGCAAAACAAGGTGATGTTCTTGGATGTAAGGCACAACAATGGGCCTCAGGATCTCATCACGGTATCTCTGACCTTTAAAAATTCCATCAATAAAATAAAATAATAATAACATATTTAAAAAATGCATGCCCATACGATAAACCCACGGCCACCATGGGCCACTTGATCCACAACAATGACAATGAAGACCACTCACCCAAACGACGGCACACAGGCTATCAACCATCTGCCCTGAACAGTGTAAAAAAGATTTATCCGTGAGGAGAAAACCTCTACAATGGGCCAGACAGCAGCAAATGTGAGCATTCGCCAACTCAATTCAGCTACTGAGACAAACTGGAGTCAGGTGGACCCCAAGCGGACTGCAGCGACTGAAGGGGGTGGGGCGCAACCCATCAGTGGCTTTCAGGTTGTGGAAGAAACACAGGTAAGTGACCACTATCATCTGACAGGAGATGATTATCCGAGTGAGTCACTTACCTGGTGTAACAGTTCAGTCCAATCCTCTGAGAAAGGCGAGACCAAACGAACTGCAGCTCAGAGCCATCCAAAGTGTCTCCGATGCAGCAACCCCAGTGAGCAGGCAGGAATCCAATCCAGGTCAGAGAAACAGCTCAGAATCAGACAGTTCCGAGATCCAGGAGTCTCTAGTCTGACAAGGGGTTCTGATCCAAACGGAACAAACAGATCCAGGGTTCCAGGAATCCTCAGAGCGTGAAGATGGTTTCAGAGTTCTATGAGTCCAGCAGAATGCTCCAACATACATGCTCAGATGGAGACAGGCAGGCTCAGTGGTAGAAGGGAACATAGACAAGACATGGTACCAGGATAAATGCCAAACTTTAAACTGGTCTCCACCTTGGAGCCAGGTTTATGGGAATTAAAACTGACATCCCCCGTGTTACGAGCCAAGGCCCTAAGGGCTCCACGGAGAAGGATCAGAACCCACATTCCCCCTGCACACCGAATCAAAACCCTGAGGGCTCAGCGGAGAAGAGCTAGGACACGATCAGGAGACAGGAGACAAACACAAAATCCTCTCAATCCACTGGCCTCCAAGAGTCAGGACATGCACCAGGAACTTAACTCTCATGAAACAAACATGAATAACTAACACAACAACACAACATGAACAAACTAAGAATACATGAATAGACAAATACACAACAAATACACAAATAATGATCATGCCCCAATAGTTGGCCTGAACCGTATATATAGCAGAGCAGGTGAACATGATTAATGATAATTAGAGAATGGAGAGGGAACGGCAGGTGAATAAAGTGAGTAATCAGATCAGCTACCGGAGCTGCAAGCATGACAGTATTACTTCCTACAAGTTAGATGTGTTAGCTTCTGTAAAAGAATTTCACATTTTATTCTAACAGGTTTATCTTTTATGTAAGCTTGCTACATTTTTATGAAGCCGGAAACAGTATTATGTACACTTATGCTAAAGAACAGGATGGTGACTTCTTGAGAAAAACAGTAAGATGATTCATAACCTAGGATGCATAACTACAGAACACTATTCAGAATGAGGGACAGCTATTGTAAAATTAGAACATAGTCTTTATGCAAGCAGCCTTGATCCAATCAACAAAAGTTGTTTTTTTATGTCTGAAAACTAGGAAAATGATTTCAATATTCAGCATAATAAAAAGATACATTTATAATTTCCATTTTGCTTAATGTAGATGATGCCCAGCCTTAGAGTACTAGAAAAACATATAACAGCTTTAACACATTCACCTTTTTCACATTGTAACCATAGGTTCAATATATATGTGACAGATCAACAAAAGCTAGTATAAAGGGGAAGGAAATGATTTGTGGTTTTTATATTATTTTTATCAAAAAAGTGAAATGAATGAATGGGTATTC